ATTTTTCCATCTCGTGAATAGGACCTTGTCTTTTCTTCGTTATTACTGTTCCTTCATAGGTGCTGATCCTTTCACTACCTCACGAATACGTTCCTTGTCCTTCAAAATTGTCGATATGGTCGAGTGCGAGAAGCCTAGGTCGCATGAAATGGTTGCTACCGTTTTTCCATTTTCATATTGCATTATTATCTTAATTTTCCTCTCAAAGGTAATTGACTGTCTCCTTTTCTTATGAGCACCACCAGCACTCTCACTTCTACGCTTGCCAGTCATTCTAATTGGATTTAGAAACGAAAATATTGTCAGTACACAGCGCATTCACTACTGACAACAACAACAGCCAAACACCAACTGAGCGCTCTACGGCGTGGATGCTGTAGCCATGAGGCGACCCAGCCCACGTGACGCTCTTGTATGGGACGGAAACGTTTCGGTCCTAGAAAATTCGCGTGTCATTTGAAAAATTTTTGGTACCAACTGCGGCGGTTGTATGTGCGGGTGGTCGTATGTCGAGTCGGTCATAAGTCGAGGAGTAGCTGTGTTAACAATATATATATCTTTATAAAATCACACAGGAAAAAGGGAAACAATGGACCACCTTAGCTTTTATCTTTATTCAAGACATCTGAGGAGATTGCCGATGCTGTCCGCGCTGTTGAGAAAGAAGACGACAATGTGGAGAGCACTAACGGAGAGGAGTCACATGTGAAGATGCCTACCATTAAGTTGTCTGTCGTACAAGAGTCACTCGGCAACGTCTTAACTTAAATTGACAGCACATTCAATCCTCATATCCACCACTATTATGCATCTTCAGACTCTTAGAGAACTTATTATAAAGAAGCAGGACTACGAAAGGAAGCAACTTATGCTGGACTCCTCCTTCAAACCTGTTAGTCGCGCCCCTCCTGCCTCCAAGCCAAGCCAAACCGAGGGGCATCCCTGCTCCTCTCACTCAGAATAACAAGTTGTTCTCAGTCCCCACTATACGATCACAGCAACACAAACTCATCTGTGCACTGCATGGGGTAGGTGAGACTACATTACTGTATTTTTTGGTGTTTCTTATATCATTATTTATTCGTCAGAATATTCGGACAATCGGCTTTATAAGATAGGTGGTCCCCCATTTAGTCCGGATCTTCGAGGGTTCACCGTAATTACCGAGCTGATGAGGGTCACGTGTCATATAGCTATTGGCCGAAATGCAATTACAGTATAGCTTTTCTTGTAGTTTTTGGATTTTCACCTCTCAATATCTCTGTTATGAGTAAAGACCGCCAAAAGTGTCAAATGAAAATTGTCTTGTTTTTGTTTGTACTTAGCTTTAGAAAAACAAAAAATCCAATATCGAATTACATATGTCCTCTACTATAAATTAACCAATTAGTACATGAGGTAAGAAACAGTTTAGGTTCTATGGTGAAATGTTGTACAGTAGGTAATTAAGATGCACAATTAGTCAATTAGTCTCAGCTATTAACGTTTATGAGCTACACAGATCGGCCAGCTGTCCTCACATCCACAAAAAAAATAAAATTATACCATAAAATAATAAGTTCCATCTGTTTAATATGCCGGGGATCCAGAGGGTTAAGCTTCACGACTAGGTAAATAGGTAAGGTTAGGTAGTTTTCTTTGGTTAGGTTGGTGAGGTCTTCTAACAACGATTTTGCCGTTTGTTTTTCTTATCAACTAAGGGTAGGTCAGGTTTAATTTAGAAATGGTAAACTTATCATTTCAGTCATGTCGCAAATTTTATGATTTTAAGTTTTGAAATCAGTAATTTAGACAATTCTAAAACACAATTACCAGCAATATTACGTGTTTAAAGTGGGCATGACTTTGAAGTAGAGGGAAATTGTGGGGTACAGTATAATAAAAATAAAATAAAAAAAGTCAAACTTTTGAAAACCTGACTAAAGATTTCCTACCCTTTACATATCCTAAAACTAAAATTATAAAGTTTTCCTTATTCATGTTTTTGGTGTTTAGTAGGCGATGGTGTTGTTTTCAGTACTTAATGTGTTGTTGTTTTAGGTGTTTAGATGAGGAGGAATCAATAAACTAGAAACTGAATATTAGCATTTTAAAAGTTTGGAAACATAAGGTAAGGTTTTCAAAGGTTTGGTGTTACTTAAGTATTTTACCCCACATTTTCCCTCTACAGTACTTCAAAGCCCTGCCCACTTTGAACAAGTAATATAATTGGTAATTTTATCGGTTAAAATACTTGAAAAATATAAATTTCCAACAGAAACGCTTTTGAAGAAAAGTGTCTTGGAATTGTCTAAACTACTGATTCCAAAATTTAAAAGACTAGGCATGCACTACAAGTACATTGCCGCTGATTTTTCAGAGAAAGCGAATTTAAAAATGTTGTGGTTTGGTGTTTATTTTCCTTTTCTATTTTTATCAGTGAGTACTGATATGATAATCATTTCTTGTGTAAATGCTTAATTTGGTATATACAGTATTAAACACCTAAGGTGTGCACTACTTTATTTTCTTGGCAGTAATGCAGCAGTTTTATGTTTAAGGGGTTAGGGTAGGTTTAAAAAGACATTTGCACAAACTACAAGTGGCCTCTATAAAACAGTTTTATGTTAATGTTAGGTTAGGTTAAGAATAAGGATAAGGAGAAGGACAAGGTTAGGTTAAGGTTAGGTTAAGGTTGGATTGGGTTAGATTAGGTTAGGCTAGTCTAAAAAAAAAATTGCACAAACTATTACTGGTACACTTATCTATAAAACACAGTGAAATTCCTGCATTTTTATAATCATATATTATGTTAAATCACTGGCAGGACAGTTGTCAATTATTACCAATGTCGTAATTTCACTGACTGGTAATTATTGATGACTGACTTGCCAGTGATTTAGAATAATAAACAATTATAAAAACGCAGCAATTTAACTGTGTTTTATGGATGAGTGTAGTAGTTTGCGCAATTTTTTTTAGCCTACCCTAGCCTAGCCTAACCCAACCCAATCTGTGTTTTATAATGGACACTCATAGTTATGGAAAATGTGTTAAAAAGTGGTTTCTTCTAAGGTATTATTTTCATTTCAGTCATGTATTGAATTTTAGGATGGTTAATTTTGACGACTGACCCGCTACCGCCTAATTATCTACCGAACGAAGTAATTTCCATAAAATGATTATTATATGAGAACTCATTGATGAAAATATAGTAAGAATATAAATATCGGTTAATATGGAGGACTTCACAGCCGCTTCCCAGTAACAGTAAGTTCGTCCACTGCAGGTGTTAGGTTAGGCTAGGTTAGGGTTAGGTTAGGTTATCCAGCACTTTTTAAGATTTTAAGTTTGGGAATCAGTCGTACTTATCTTAATTAGGCTCAGAAGACTCGGAGTTCGGGTCATTGGAGTCATCTTCCTCATCAACCACAGGTCATTTGTCAGTTTCATAGCTACAGGGCTGGTTACAGTTCGTGCAAGTAATCTCAGTTGGCAAAACACTGTGTTCGTGGAGAAATTTCAATGCCTCACCATCCTTACCGTAATATTCAACGTGAAATCTTGTGGTACAGTAACTTGGAACTAATCAACATCACAGCCATTGCACGAGGAAGACATCTTGGAAATAAAATCAAATTCAAGGGGGTCGCAGTGGGGGGGAGGGCTATACCAAGCTGTGATTGGCTGATCCAAAATCATACCAATTAAAGTCCAAAGAACAACTGTGCATGTATCAGATTCTTCATCAACAAGAACTTAGAAGAAAAAAATGAAATTTTCCAAAATATTACTGCGATTTTCTCTGAAAGTAATCATGAGTGGAAGAAATACCATGGTAGAACAGTGTCTTAGAATTGTTCAAACTACTGATTCCAAAACTTAAAATCCAAAAAATGGTATTATTAAATTTTCACATCACACATTCCTACCACTAATCTATTATCATATTCAAATAAGACGTCTTAATTTTCATCTATTACATTACCATCACAAATGTATAATAATGGAGATAGTGTATCCAAAATTTTTTCTATTTTCTTCTATTAATCTTCCGCCATTATCGCCTACCTCACCTCCCACACTGCGTGTCTCCTTCATATATCATCATGCGCATGCGTTCCAATACACATCATGTGGCCAATCAAAAGCTTTGGAGGGGGGGGGGAGGGGCAACCAATTACAATAAAATAATTTTTGGTTTAATTCACGGTATTTTTGGCCTAATCAAAATCGATTTTTATTTTGGGTCTCATATTTCCAAATTCATATTCATTTCTGACCATGGAAGTCTGTGATGGGTGTTACTTAAATTATATGGAGCTGATTGAGAGTTTTTGGGAAATAAACGAAGAAACTATAGCATTTTTTTGATCGCATGGTGTTCTCCCAACCTCAGTAAAGTGTCGTAAGTGCAAGACTGAATGTAAATATCGCAAAAACCAACAAACTGTATGTGGTATTGTCCTAACTCGTCCCATATCCCAAAGACAAAGAGACAACAATAAGGTAAGAAATAGGTGGTTCCATCATATGGTGAGTCAGTTAGGTTAGGTTAGGTTTGGTTATATTTTTCAAGTGTTTTTTGGTGTATTTTGTATTCGCTTAGCCATTATTTCTTTTCGGAAGACGTCCCACGAAAAAAATTGATAAAAAAAAACCAGGCCAATTTCCGACGGAAATGAAGGTCATATTCGGTGTAAACACACACAAATACACTAAAAAAATATATTTTTTACTTTATAACAGTTGGGTGCGCTTAAGCAAATTTACCCCAAAAATCGCTGGATGACCGAAAAAAAATTTTTACCTTAACTTTAATATTTATTTATTTTTTCAACTCATTTGCCATAACTACGACAGTGTCCACTATAAAACACAATAAAATTGCTGCGTTTTTACATTCGTTTCTACCGATAACAAAAATCAGCAGTTGTGAAGTGGTAAATAATTCCCAAAACATCAACACAAATAACGCGTCGACTATGAAGTCTTCCAGTTTAGCAGCATAACTTACATACCTTGTCGGCAGTGTGTTCCTGTGGTGTGGGTACTTCACTGTGGTGGCTGGGGGTACCCTCTGTCTTGGCTACTTCTCGCTCTAATGTGTCAAACTGAACAGGAATTTGATTTCGCTGATAAAGAATATATTTCAAAAAGCCTTCAACAATCATTGCACAAGACTGATTAGTGAGAGTTGTTTCTAATTTCACGTCAACGTTAATAGTTTCTTTGCCTCTCTGTCTCGCATGTTTGGAAGGCTGCTCCATGTTGTGTTGTTTACATGAAGATGATGAGGGTGCCCAACTTAACCTGTGCCCAACTTAAACGAGTAGCACTGTCGGAATTTCCGACTCTTGTTTATCAAACAAACTGATCGGTTCAAATCCGGTACTTCGTCTGTTAATCGGTAAATTGATGACGTAGTCGGTAAGCCGTGACGTCACTGCTCCGACTGTCGGTAAATTACCGACTACAGGAAATATTCTTTTTCATGGCTAAAATACCATATAGAATGCACAGAAATAAATTGTGGATGTATTTAAATACCTTACCTACATTTTACTAGCGATATTTTAGCAGAACTAAAGTAATACAAATTACAATTGATAAAATACAAATCTAATGTGATCTTGTAGTGGAATCCTCCCCGACAAAGCTGTTTGTCGCTGAGTAGCCGACCCCGCGAATTCCCCAGTGCATGCCTGGTGGTCTAGGTCAACCAGCGCCACCTTACATGACGGAGGTCAACTATTAAGCCACGCCTACCTCCGCTATATAAGACCTGACCTTGTGGTGACCTACCGGGAAACTATTGGAAAAAATTTTAAATTCAAGACTTATAGCCTTTTTAACACAACATGGGAAAACTAACAATAGACAACATGGATTTATGCCCAAAAGAAATACCCTAACTGCAATAGCTACAATAACGGAAATAATGGCAATAGAAAAAAGCAAGGGTAACCAGATCAATATAATTTTAAGGGATGTTTCTAAGGCTTTTGATAAAGTTTGGCATTTAGGCTTAAAATATAAAATATTAAAACTAGGACTTAACGAATCCTTGCTAAGAATATTGTGTAACTATTTAGATGATAGGAGAGCACAAATTCAAATTGGAAACTTTATGGGAACCATATTAATCTTGAGAGTGGAGTACCTCAAGGAGGATGCCTTTCTCCAACACTATATACAATTTATACCTCAGACACACCTCAACCTACCCCCTTTAGCGAATATGTAATGTTTGCTGATGATATTACTCAAATAGTATCATACCCAGGAAAATCAACTCAATTTATGGCACTCTACACGGTAAGAGCGATAAAAAACATAAATGATTTTGAGAAAAAATAGAAAATCAGGACAAATAAGAACAAATTCAAGATAATATTGTAGTGTACTGTGTGTGGCCAGTTGTCATTTCTC